CTAGAGACTAGCTAGTTAATTATTACACCACAACGAGGTGCCAAAACAAGTGCGAATTAAGTATAAACATGACTAGAACTGATCAAAATTTTAAGAACTTTTTATTGCCACCTTGTATGTATGGCACAATTACAAAGACTTTTAAAGCAGAAAGAACTGAAGACAATGTCTTTATAATAAAGATTACACACACACATACAATGTAAATCGTTATCTTCTGACTTCTTAATTCTAGTTCTTTTAGTGTTCTTTCTTTAATAAGGTTTTTCTTTTTCTCATATTCTTTTACACACAGTAACCGCCTTGCGTCTTAGTGGCTTTATTGCCTTATATATATGTGTGGGGGGGATGTATAATAGAATCCGAAACAAAATTGAAGATGATCACACAAAGTGGAAAAGAGAAAAGCTCAGCTTATGTTCTCTTCGGTGCCATGACGCCAAAGAGAGCTAAACCTTTCTCTGGCGAAACGGGTCTTTGATTAAAAATTTTCCACTTTGTCTCATCATCTTCAATATATATATATATATATATATATATATATATATATATATTAGGGTATTACAACAAAAACTTATAAGAATCGCTACACAATTGCAGTCATGTTTCAACTCATAACAATGCGTCTTCTCAGACGATTGTAAAATACTGGCGAGTGAACAATTAATTTGGTTTTAAAAGCAAAGCACATCCTATTTCTGAAAAAAAAGGCTTCATCGTACCTATATATATATATATATATATATATATATATATATATATATATATATATATATTCATCCTTGGTGTCACATAGCGATACAAAATCATTAACGCCACCCTGATGGAGCGAACGGGATTTTTAAGCTTACATCTCCTCCTCTGCCAACGATAACTGCGATGGTTGGGTCATGCTCATCGAATGAAGGATGGTCGTATACCAAAGGATGTTATGCACAGTGAGCTAACCACGGGATAAGTCACAGGATTAGCCACAGTAAGCCGCTCTACACCTCCCTTTAAGGATGTCTGCTTGCAGGATTTGAAATTCAGAGATTGTTTCCAGATATCTGAGATAACAACTTGCGGGTGACCGCAGCAACTGACGACAGTCTATCCGAGAAGACATTAAAGGAGGCGAGAACACACATAACTGTCAGATCGAGAATAGAAAAATAACACAAGGCAGAACACTCGCAAAAACAAGTACATACACCAATTTCAAATGTTGTCATTCAAAAATCGAATTGGTGAGTCATTCTACATGTTTCTCTCGTAGGACCAACCAGGGTACTGCCATTATATATATATATATATATATATAAGAGATAAATATTTGACTACAACAAGAAATATATTTTAGTAATTTTACAATCCGAATATGCTGATATTAACATTCGTGTGTTTCTACAGAAGGATGCTGAAAATTCCATGGACTGAATATGTTAGCAACGATGAAGTTCCACGTGCCATGTCTAATGAATGTCAGTTATCAGTTATCTCTTGTTAATTTACCTCTCCACTGTCTTAACCAGGTATTGAACTCACAACTCTTTGGGTCCTGTCATTGGATCTAACAAACGCCTTTATAAAGGACACATGGCACAGAACTAGAACAGTTTACCCCAGCGAGCGAAATAAAGGGTTCAGTTCGACATTCCAACCACCCGAAGAAGACCGGAGCGTACAACGGCCGAAACGCTGTGATAAATATGACAACAAAGATGAGGACAATAGTCCAAATAATGTAAATAGTGCAGTTGTATACCTTCAACTAAAGATAAAATATATCGTTGGTCATTTTGCTATAAAATGTATTGTTGGTAATTTTTTTTATATATATTAAAATGTATTGCTGATATTTTACCATAAAAATGTATTTTTCTATTTTCATAGTGTTTTGTTTTTGTTTGGCGTTCACTACTTAGCCATAGGTTGGACCTTAACAGGTGCTACCAACCCACCTCATTGTGGTGTAATGGCTAAGGAGCTAGTCACGTAGATCAATTATGATTAGCGAGTTCGATTTTTCACTACAAACCTCATATTTGCGGCATCGTGTCAATTCCACCATCATCGAGTAAACTTCACTATGATGAACAGTTGTTCTCTCAAGGAGACCCTTGTCTTGAATGCCTAGTGAGATTTAAGCTCACTGCAGACCTCACGCAGATATATACTATCTATCGCTAAAGTTGTTGGGAAAATGGTTTGTTCTTTATACCAATCCATTAAGTATTTGATTCCTCTTGTTATGCTCTATTTTCACAAGAGCCATATCAGACTAAAAATAGAGTCTTGCTGCCATATCTGGGCTGGAGTTGACCAGCCCTCACTTGAGCCAGCACTAGGGTTGCAGGCACCACGGGCAAGTTGAACTTACAAGTATATATTTTTTTTAATTTTTACATTGAAAATGTAGAATAACGAGTTTATTACAATATACAATCAAATATTCCAGCATTTATATCTACAAAACATTTATGGCACTTTCTACGCCTATCTTGTTTACACGATCATTTTCTATTGACAATTTAATCTGTTAGAGACAGACAAACGCAAGTATGTTTTTAAAATATTTTGTTTACTAAAGCTTCTCTCTCCGATGGCCACAGTAATGGGTATAGTAAGGATTTTTCTCAATGCAACCCACAGATTTGACATGACATCCTGTAACTAATTAATGTTTATGGACCGAACGACTTCTATTGGAAGCTTCAGATCTTCAGGAAATCATTCTTTTGGTATATTCAGTTCAGTCAAGAGATCACATCGATTAATATCACTATTTTCTTGGTATCTTAACTTATCCTCCAAATATTGACATGCTACTTTGAGTTTATTTTTTATCTTGCAGATCTTTTATGTTATTTAAAAATCATTATGTGTTATTGAAACTGTAGTGAACCGTGGCTGTAATGTTGTTGAGTAGAAGTAGAAGAAACACACGTGGGTTCAGATTTTCCTGCTAGCTGGTCCAACTACACAAGAAAGTTGGACTTTAATTAAGTCCAAAGAAGAAGGCAAAGAAAAACAAACACAAGACCGATAATATATGTATACAAATATATATATTAATAACAAGTTACATGGAAACAGTTAGAAAGGACAAAGTGTGTGTGTGTGAATATTATATATGTGTGTGTGTGTGTGTGTGTGTGTGTGTGTGTGTGTGTGTGTTGTGCTTAGCGTGTTCCCAGCATTTTGGGAAACGCTATCTCTGTGAGTGTTCACATCTTCGAGGTAATAAGGCTGAAAGAGAGATTTACCTCCAGGTGTCGGCGCAAAGGCCTGAGGGAAAAAGAAGAAGAGGCGAAGGGTCAGCGACTATTTATAGCCAGGGAAGAGAGACCCCTGGTGAAAGGGTTAACGAACTAAAGGAGGAGTTAACTCCGACAAAACTTTGTAATTGTTCAAATCTTTCTGATAAAGAATTAATAGCTCTATCGAGTATTACATTTAATATTTTGTTTTCATTTTATTTTTTATTTTCACATTTTCCTTTTTTGTATGGAAGTTCCCAAACACATGACATGGAGATATGATGGCGCCCAGTTGCCAGTACCATGAGCCTGGCCCTCACTTCTTGATAAAGATCAAAAGCGCCTACATGGTCTTGTGGGTGATTAATTATTTTCCACTCCACAATCCTTTTCTCACAGACTAAACATCACAAGTCTCTTACCACTATGTCACTATTTCTATAGCAAACATGTTCTGACGAGTTACATTTCTTAGTTCCACCAGTCCTAGCCTTCGCTGCTAAGACTTCCTCTGCCACGTCAACGATGATGAATCATCATTTCCTTCGTATTCCATTAATAAGAGAAAGAATTTCTACTCAGACAGTTTCTTCTCAACTTCTCATGGAAGAAGATCCCAGTAGAATGTTTTCCTGACCACTACAATTTTAACCACTTCAAGTCTGGGGTTAACCGTTATCTCTCCGATATAACCCCATAAACTGCACTTCTTACCTCCTACTCTTACACTCATACTTCATTCAGTAACCCTCTACTGCGAGTGGCTCTTGGGCCTTGTATAAGGTAAGTATTAATAAAATAAATAAAATGTACGCTACGCTTAGTAAATAACTATATACACTTGCTTTGACTGTTGCTTACCAAATAATTCAGTTACAAGTATTATTATTATTATTATTATTATTATTATTATTGTACTATTCTACTCGTTAGCAAATCTCCAAGAAAAATATACTGGTTAGGTTTATATTTTTATTCTTCAAGTAATGGAAGCTACAAATTGGCAGGGATTTGGTAAAAATGCTTAGTAACTTGGAATTGTTAACCGCTCATTCTTTCTCTTTGTGTCAGTTTTCTTCATGATGTGGGCGATCATGATTCTCCACAAATTCTAAATTTTGTTACCTTCAGTAATATTTGCTTCTTTATGACGCATTGTTTTTTGTTGTTGTTTATGATGATGATGATAATTATTATTATTATTAATTGATTGATTTTCTACTGTTTACCAAAGCTTTGGAGGTTATTTAAAGCCAGAAAATATTTTTAGATTGTAAGAATTGTTTTATATATATAAATGGTTTAGTAATACAAGTCTTACTAAGAGGTGTATTCATACCTTTCCCGATGTGACGTGAATACAACAAACCCAACGGGAATTGGGAACTCGGCTCTCTGATTAACAATACCGAACTCTTATGTATTATACCCAGAGCCGGATTTAGATGAAGAGAGGCTCTCTAGACTATTCCATTTGTGAGGCCCTTCTAAATCCCTTATTCTCACGAGTAATGGAGAATGGGAGAGTGTTAAATTAAACAGTTTGAGTAAAGTCGAGAATGACGACGGGTGTTTAAAATTACTGAAGGGTTGTTTAGAGTCTACAATACATTATGACAACATGTGTAAGAAAGACCTATGACGGTGTCAAAAATATTATACTCCTTGTCTGGAGGCCCCCTAGATTTTGAGGCCTTAGGCTTCAGCCTGCTAATCCTATAGATAAATCCAGCACTGATTATACTTGCACATCCAAACTTACAGCACCTGGTATAAACTCAAACGGTCACTCATGTAGGTACTGATCAGGTTCGACGTTGCTTAACTTCAGTGATCTTACGGGAACTGGTGTTTCAACGTGATGTGGCCATAAGCCTTAAATGTTATGTCTTTTCAGGACCTAGTTAATCTTGGTTTTGCACAGATTCTTTTTCATTTTGTGAATTGCCGTAGCCACTTGCAGGGAGGGAGGGTTTAATAGAATTGATTTCCGTTTTCCACAGGTTTGAGCATCTTCTCTTAAACTGTCTACCACTCAAGGCAAGAGAGTCCAGTCTACGGGCTATTTAAATTATACCATAAAAGGGAGAAGAAAAATGTTCCATGCCTTTCTCAAGGGCAAAAGAGCGATGTAGATATCTCTATCTCGTCCTTGCCATGGGTTAAGTAGCAGAACAGACCATCATATCACAAGTAATAAAGAAAAGAAAAAGAATCAAGGGAGAGTCTTGACCTTTTACACCCTGAAGGAACATGTCATAAAGAAGGAAAAAAAACTGGAATATTAATTTATTGCAGGAACATTTGCTTAGAGACGTTGTTGTTAACTACAACGCTTCCTGTTCAGCGCATTTCAATTGGTAAACCACTAAGGCATCATGAAGATACGTAGGGTTATAAAGTATGGGGCGCGCCACACTGGTTCTCTCTTTCTCTCACACACATACACACACCACGTGTGTGTGTGTATATATATATATATATATATTGTCTGTTCTCTTTGATTTACATTCTTTTCTTGCCAAACCCGTTCGTTCACTTTTCTCGCCTCTTCTGTCACACGTGCCGCACGCGCCTTCATAAAAACCAACCTCATTCCTCGTTCTTCTCTCTGTCCCCCGCCACTCTTCCTTTGTTTAACTGTGTCCCTCCATATCTCGCTATATATTTTCATCGTCTCTCTCTCTCTCTCTCCCTCTCTTTACCTTCCCCTCTTTCTCTTCCTCCCCGTCTCCTTCATCTGCTCGTCCTTTGGGTGTTTGTTTTTTTTTTCCTCCTCTTCTTCTTCTTCTTCTTCCTTCTCATGAAAACCCGCACACACGTGCGTTGTAGACCTGTTAGAGCTGGCTGTTGCGAAACATATCACATTTTACCTCCCAAATATAGACCGGAGCTACTCTACGACTCGTTCATTTCTATATTACTTACCCTCCTACATCACATACTAGTCTGCACTTCCCTTTCGGGCTCATCCAATCTTTGACAGGTTGGGGTACTGCCGAAGAGTTGGAGAAAGGAAAACGTACTTCCTTTGATAGCTCTGTAGTAGTATTAAAAATGAGTTTGTGCTGCTGAGAAAGTGGGGTGGGTATTTTTTTTAAGGCACGTGGATGTCGGGAAAGGAGAAGCGAGAGTAAAAAAAAAAAAAAAATATTAAAAAGACAACCAGACTTGGATTTTTAGTAATATAGATAGTTCTACGTCCTTCTGTATTATATTTCTTTGTGGGCGACTAATTGAAATACTTATCTTGGAGAAAATGTTTAGTGGATTCTAACTTTACTGAAATAGAGTGAATAGCATTGGTGCATTTTTTTTTTTCAGTCATGGTCCTCGATCCTCTGCAATAAGGATGGATAGACGACGTAGCTGATGTGGGGCGTAGATCACAAGTCGATAAATTAAAATTTTCAAACATTTTCTGATGTACACACTTTCTTTACCATCCTCTGCCACATCACATATTGCGTATTAAATATAATTTATAGATTTATGAGTTATAATCGTAGGTGTCGAGTTTATGTGCAGTGATTTTTCTAAGCATTAAACCTTTCTCTTATATGTTTGATTGTTTAAAAGTTGTTATATTTATGGGAGAAGGGTGTTGAAGTTATTTATTTGATTTCCCACTAATGCAGAATGTGACGCAAGGTTTTTATTTATAGGTGGGACGTCCGTGCGCATGCATACGGGCCTGGGACAAAAATTGAAGTCAACTCGACCACGCTGGGGTCGATATTACGCCGACCTCACCCTTCTTAGTGCAATGAGGAAGGTACTGCCACCGGGTTGGAATCCCAGGGACTGGGTGCCTTCTCCAGACTCAAATGAGAGAACAACACATACCACGCTTTGATCGGAGAGAGATTGTTTGTAGAAGTGTGGACATGGGGATCAATAATTGCATGTTGACTGTCAACCGGAAAATTGACAGTTACTGTGAGTTCTGTGTATGTGCCTCACCCCCCCTCCCCACACACATACAAATACAAATTTTCTTATACAAAAAGGCCTATTTTTAATGTACCAAACATGTCCTGCTGTTTTTTTTGGGGGGGGGGGATATAAGCGTTTACACTTTTTCGCAAAAAAATTGTCATCAAAATATGTTCGTCTAAAATGGTATAATTCTTAGGTTATTTATTTCAACTTTGTAGGTACCAAAAACATTACAAAGTGTATCAGGGCCGGTGCAAGGGTCTCGTCCCTCAACCCCCACATTTATGATACCCCCGCCCAATTCTACAACATCTCAATTTTATTTTCATAAGGTAGTATTCATATAAAATACAAAGTTTATTGTAACCTAATAATGGATCATATGCAATATAGGTGAACAATTCAATTATCTAAAAATACAAATTAACAATTGTCATAATAGATAATTCCATCTTAAATAAATCAATTTTTCTTGCTAAAAGTTGAATAATATTATTAACTAACACGTTCAACATTATGGATAAAAATAGTGAATTTTATATAGTATTTTTAGAGGCTTAGCATGAGCAAAATAATGCATTTGGACGAGAAAAAGCCCCTAGAATGAATTCAAAATACGAAAAAATGTTTCATCCTTTCAGTTGTGCATAGTTTAATTTTTAACGTAAATAAATGTTGGTAGCGAGAGTCATAAAGTACTGCTCAGGCTTGGTCACACCCGTTCAGGTGTCGTATGCGCCGACCCTAAAGTATACCAACGATCACAGACTTTTCTTTATGGATTCTACAATGTATTGTAATAATTTGAATATCTTCTTCGAACTTTTAATTTTGGTTTTAATTGTAAGAGAGATTAAAGCTAGTCATAAAATTATGTTACGTTAAAACAGTTTTTTTTTTTTTTTTTAATAAACAAAAGTGTTTCGGAGGTGGGGTTGCATCAGGTTAATCTTGGCATTACTGAAATAAAATTTTAAAAAATTGACGTTATGAACACAAAGGAATAAATCTGCCAAGATTTCGAATAAAGCAAATGTCGATGATAATTCAGAAAAAAAAAAGTTGGAGATTTAAGGATCGGAAAATATAAAGTCAGTGATGAAAGCAAAAAAAAAAAAAAAGACACTTATACATCAGAAACAGACAGGTGAAATTTCTAGGACACATAATGAATGAAGGAGGCTTTAAAAAAATTTGACTCACTGGACATATTGAAGGCAAAGAGGGTCAGAGAAAAATAGCACTTAACCTACCTAACGAGCTTATTCATGGTTGGTAGAAGTAGAATTTATAGTAAAAAGACAAACCTTACTAAGAATTACAATGGATCAGAAGTTAGAATGTCCACATCAAAAATGGACGCTAGAAGACGAATTGGATTTCTTAAATCATACTTTGCTGAAAGATTTGACTGCTGAAATTTCTCAAAAGTGCTATTTTGAAGAAATGGTTGCTATGACTCATTCTTTTTATTTTAGATAATATTTTCGGTTTGTTTTTATTAACAGCCAAACAACTTTTTGTAGGTTATTTAACGCCAGAAAGTATTTTTAGATTGAAGAAATTTTTTGTGGAGGGGACGGATAATGATATAAGACCTACTAATTAACCTATAGCTAAGGGGAAGAGGTAGATTCATACATTTCCCAATTTTATGCGCGTAAGTGAATATAACAAAACCGAATAAAATTGGATATCGGTTGTACGGATCTCAAATTCCGAGCCGTTATCCATTACCCAAATCGCACATCCAAGCTTACAGCACTTGATATTCCCAAGCGGTCACCCGTCTAGGTACTGACCAGGTTCGACGTTGCTTAAATGTTTGTGATCGTACGGGAACTGGTGTTTCAACGTGATATCGTGTAACAGTAAGTCTCATTAATACACTAATTGTTCGTTTTTTTTTTTTTGTTTTTTTAAAAATATATATATATATATATATATATATATATATATATATATATATATCATTCCTTTTGGATCATTTCAATTTTAGTCTGGTTCCTTTTGCCCCGTAATTGTTCCAAGCGCTTATATGGAATTTCTTAATTCTTTCAATTTTCTTGCAAGGGTCAGATATTTCTTAAACTCTTCATTCTCTTGGCAGCTCTACTTTTCCTTGTTTACAATAACGAGAGCTGGTCTCTTGAAGCGGTTAAAGTAGTCGTTTAAATTTTCCAGTATTTGTATTTTCTCTTTTTTAATAATATTTCATATTTGTTGAAGTTTCATCTCAGTAGTATTTAGTGCAATGATTCTCGAAAGAGAGGCAGTTGGTTGCGGAAAAAAAAGAAGAAATATAAACTGAAAAGAAACTTTATATAATGGTGAAAGAAATTAGGTGACGATTCAAAATAGAAGGAACATTTTTGAGGAAACTCGAGATCACGAAAGAAGGAATGTGATCAGATCTTGTCTGACTTCCTTGAGATAAAGTCTCCTAATTACACCTGCACTCTTTTTTTCTATAGACTCTTCTTTCTCTGCACTCTCCTACTTGTATAATAAGTTTCATTTCAATATTAGATCACCTAACAAGGGATTAACATGTCGAAAATACAAGCAAATCCAACCCTTTTAATGTATTTAGCAACTTTGTCATTTTGAAATTTTCTGATTGCATGTTTTACATACTTCAGTTAATTTTTACTCAGCTTTACTTAATCTCGAACAAGCTCAATGCTAGCGAGGCGGGTACCAGCAAGGGTTTGAACTCGAACAATAGCTTTCTTGATCATCGTTTTCAAGGCTGTTTTTGAAACACAAAAGTCCCAGTGTCTGGTTCTAGGTATAAATCCAGATATGGATTAAATAGCAAGGGCAGACCGAGCACTCGAGCGTTGTTTGGTAACTATCAGTCAAGTAGAATAACTAATTCTGAATCCAAAAATCATAGAGACGGTTTCTTAATAAGTTATGGCAATTCAGACATTAAAAGAGAACATAAACGTCAAATACCCATAAATACCTACATCCTAGAATACACACTGAATTAAAATAAAAAAAAAAAAAGTATATCCATGTCTCTCTATAAAAAGGCCTTGTATCACATCCCATCCTCGTAGTAGAAAGAATAGTTATTTTCTAAGCGTAGCTTAGATGTGGCACAAGGCCGCCGAAAGTATGGGACACCTAGTGAGGATCGAACTCACTTTTCAGTCGTAACTGATCTAGCGAGACAAGCTTGCTAACCATTACACCACGCCGAGGTAAAACCACGGACTAAATTTAGCCTTGATATAAAGACCGAGAATGGCATTTCGATGTGGTGTAGTGTTTAGCAAGTTTGTCTCGCTAGATTAATTACGGCTTAATAATGAGTTCGAGCCTCACTGGATGATCCACACTCTCAACATTGTATCACATTTAAGCTATGCTTAGTAAATGGCTAAAGACTTGTGAAAAAAAAATGGCATACTCAATGAAACTCGCACACGTTAGCAGTAGTTTTACAATGCTAGTTCGCTAATCATTGATATGCAGTAGGAATCTAGTTAGCTATTACATTTTATTTCTATATATTGTAAGAAAATTAACATAAATTATTTATAAGCTCTCAAGATTTGCAAAGAGTAGGTAGACAAACACAAAATAGGAGAGCTGAAAAAGTTTTTCTTTAAAAGAAAAAAAAAAGCCAATACTGAATATTTTTATGTAACATTATATACGCATGCGCGTAGCAATAACACTAGCTTTGGAATCTGCAATTAAATCTCTCTCTGGTTAAAATTGATCTTCAGATAAGGAACAGAAGATGGCATGTGGTGAAATAATATCTCGTCTTATGGTTCACCCAGCAACATTAGTGGTGAGTCTTCATAATGAAAGTTCTTCTCTCAATCTCTATTTTATGATTATTTAATACGAACAAGGCGCGTTAAATGCTAACAAGACAAATTTAATTTTTTTTTTTGGCCCCCGGTGACTATATTCTATAGAATATTATTAACTCTTCAAAACGTTGGGGTATATGTACACTCGACAATGTTTTTTTTTTCTCGTATTTTTAGCAAGTGGCAACTCAAATTTCCATGATTAATCATCAAATAGCTTTCTGAATTCCTCTGTCAAGTAACTACACTGGGTCCTGGTTTTAGTCCTAATATTTGAGTGAATTAAAAACAATTTTATGTTTTTAGGGGTGCGAAAGTATCCCATAATACTAATGAAGTGATTTATTTATATATATATATTTATATATATATATATTGTGTCCGATTTTTGATGTCTTTTTAAATGGGTTTAGTTCTACAATAAGCAAGATTGTCTTAAGTCGTTAGTTCTGTAAAAATAACATTCAACTTTCCGTCACTAGAGCTTTTGTCCTTCTGGCCGTATACGACAAACAAAGATTTTTAAATCTTTTTAATTCAATTTTTTTTCACATGTCATACAAAAATCTAAAGAGAACACCCAAAACAAAAAGGAAAAATAAAATAAAACTCAAAAAAAAAAAAAAAAAAAACCGAATTTCCATTTTGTTCATGGTATTATGTATACGACAGGAGAGTCTGTCGGAGTTAGCTCCTCCTTTAATTCCCCAATTGTTCACGAGGGGTCGCTCTCCCTACACTATAAATACTGTGCGACTTCTTGCCTCGTTTTCTTTTTCACTTTTATTACTAACATGATTTTGTTTCGTTGCATGTAAATAATTTATAACGATATTGTATATAATCATTGGGGATTTTTTAACTTGTTTTTATTCCCCTCCCCCCACAGACAACGATTTGTACATATTTTCATTGACACAATGAGGTATTTTGGTGGATGTAGTAAGAAAGGTAAGTATGAATGTGCTGTTTTGGTGGTAGGAATATTGTATTGTTTGATTGGGTCAGTGGTTGTGGCTAGCTAAGTTTTAAAAAATTAAGACAGATGATGACCGTCCTTTTCCCCACCATCTTTCTTGGTATCATGTATAATGCAAATTCAGTACAACTAATCTACCTCTGTAAACACACACACACACAAGTCTTTTGACTTTTTACGTTGAAATACCGGGTCTCGTCAGATCACTGGAGTTAAGCAACGTTGATCTTGGTCACCGCTTGGAAATACCAGGTGCTGTAAGCTAGGATGTGCGGGTGGTGTGATGGATAACAGAAATCGGTAAGTCGAATTTCTCGTGTACATTATATTCATATACGCGCAAATATCCTTGGGTAAGGTATGAATCCATCTTCTCTACCCATCTAAGACAAATTAGTTTCTCTCGCCTTGGTTGGCAACCAGTCTACCGCAGAAAGTAACGGCAGCCTACTGCGGGAATTCTTTTGTCATGTCAATCATGAATCGAAAAGAGACTTGATCGCCCAAGCGTACATCCACGCGTGGCACTCGAGGAAAGAAAGATCGCTAGACAAACATCTGTGGTGAAATTGCTACAACTACAAACCTGTGTTGGCCGCTGCAGGCGACGGCTGTCTGATCAGGCCGACACGTGGCACATCATGCCCAGATGACGTCTGTAAGATACAAACGTTCGAACTTTTAATAGAATAAAAAAAACCTCCGCATTCGTGTGTAATGCTTATGTTAATATTTTTTCTTTTGTAAAGAAAACGTTTGCTTTAAATATGAGACTTAGAGTTTGCATTAAAAACAAAAAATTAAATATTACTTGGTTCTAATGTCAGCCTGCTGCCACTAACTAGTCCCCTTTTTCCTAACCGCCTCTTTTTTTCATTAGTGCCTACTGGATCTTTCCATATCCCCCATTGGTATTTGGGAACCGGTGGTCTAGTTGACCTATACTACTGAGCAATGAGTTCGATCCTTACTGGATTCTCCTCTACTTGTGCCAAAATAAGTTCAGTTTCGTAAATAATTAAATGTCACCGCAAGATAACATTGTTTTATTGTTGTAGATTTTTATCACACACAATAAATATGTGTGTGTGTGTACACGCACAAAGGACAGCTTGTGTCGTTTCGCAATCTCTAGACTACTAGAACGCGTTCTAGTCGTATGAAGATCGCGAGAGCGTTGAAACTTTAGTAATTTAGACTCTGGCTGAACTTGTTGATGTTGTCAAGCGTATTTTTCTTCTGTCTAGATTATCAGGGTATTGAGCACTAGTTTACAGAGTAGGTAGCTGCTTGTCTTTTCTTTATCCTTGTTTAGGATTTTTTTTTTCTTGTCTTAGGTCTTTTGACACGTTGTCAGTTGTTCATACCAACGTTTTTTTTTTTTTTTTATTATATATATATATATATATATATATATATATATATATATATATATATATATATATATATATTCAAATGTTATTTTTAGTGGATGCAGTTTTAAATCCTGCCGAAGAGCACATTTTCTTTGTTTTCTCGAGTGTGCAGGCTGTAGACGTAATACATACTGTTTAAAAATTTGAAAAAAAGGCGTCTATTTCAAACACTAATATCCACTAAAAATAACGTTTGAAGTAATAAATCATTTTTGGAGCCTACTTGTTTGTTTATACTATTATTTATCCCGCTAGGAAACAACAAAATGATTATGCTACGCGGTGGTTAATTTATATAGATTACAGTAAATTTATTGGCTCACTTGCCTCAAGAGTGTGTGGGAAGTTTGTAGATTGGCAATGCGCGTAGTATCATTTTTCCTTTGCCATATGTTTTCCTATCGTTCAGTCTTCAGAATCCCACCTGTACTTGATGGCTCTTTGCGTCTGCTATAAAGACAACAAACGCTAAACCTGACTCAAGCTGTGTGACCGAGATTTAACGTGGCCATATTGTATATCAGGTGGACGAGATTTCTCTAAAGAAGACCTGAATAAAATTATAAGTATTGTGGGTGCCAGACGGTGAAAGACTTTCACCAAATGTGGATAAAAGATTTCGCACGTTCT